GCTCAGCACCGGGACTTGCCTGCCCCTGCCTGACTTGGCAGAACCAAGTGCCAGGCAGTGAGCACTCATACCCCTGGCAGCTAGCCCAGCCCAGGGACCCCAGCACTAGTGCTGTGCAGCGGAGGGTGGGGGGATGCCTAGTATCCCAACCAGCCCTGTTGGGATGTATAAGGCATCTACAGAGGACGTGGGGGTACAGCAGGAGCTGAGAGCCATCAGCTGGCTCAGGGGAAGCATCCTCTGCCTTTTCCTCCTCCAGTGACTGATGTGTCTTGTCGTGAGACTGCCCCAACAAGCCACCCTTAAATAAAACTGCTGCCTGGCTGGAGAGCTGCAGTGGCAGAGATCCTTCAACACTTCCCGTAGCCTGGGGGACTCCTCAAGGGATTGACCCCCAGGGGGGATCTTGAAGCAGCAGCATCAGGTCCTTCTGGGGCTCAGCCAGAGGGGGATGCTGAGCTGCATGGGTCCTGGGGGGGTGTGAAGCAGGACTGTGATTCACTGTATATGTCTGTTCTGTACCCCTCCCACTTCCTCCTCGCTGCACAGGTTTGCACTGACATCAACGAGTGCGAGACGCCTGGCGCCACCACCTGCGTCCCCAACTCCATCTGCATCAACACCCGGGTGAGTACTGCCAGCTGGTCTCGCCCGGGCCTGGCACCCCAGCACCTGGAAGTAGCTCTCTCTCAGCTGGGGCAGAGCAGACACCAGCTGCTTGAGGGATTCAGACAGCACTTTCCCTGCACCCATGTGATAGCTTCTGCTTGCTGCTCTTCTTGTAGGGATCCTACAAGTGTGGGGCTTGTAAGCCTGGCTTCATTGGGGACCAAGTCACTGGGTGCAGAAGCCAGACACAGAGACGTTGTCCTAACGGGGAACTCAGCCCATGCCATGAGAAGGCTGAGTGCATCGTTGAGCGCGATGGGAGCATCTCTTGTGTGGTAAGACCCAGACCTCCCTTGGTTCACACAGCAGGGTCTTCAGTTTTTACTTTTTAGCCTCAAACCAGTTCCACGAATCCCTTGGCTCACATCTGCCGCTGCCCCCTACCGGTCATCACGTGTCACTCGCTCAGGGCTGTACCAGTCTCTCAAACCTAAGCATGTGTTCCCCAGGGGTGTGCAGCAGACTTCTACCGGAAGGGGAAGGGGAACTAGAAATGGAGAAGAAAGGAACAACTCCTCCATCTGTTTTTGCTTTTTGGCAATGTTACCGTGAGTTTGCAGTGACAAAATGTGACTCTTTGTTCTCCGTAACACTGAATTAGAGGGGTACACAGAGGAGAACACAAGAAAGGGGCACATGACCTGAAAAGCTTGAGAACCACTGCTCTGTGCCAGTTCTTTCCTCTTTAATGCTCTACGCTGTGGCTAGCTGCCCATGGAGCAGAGGGTGGTAGGTTGCCTTCCTGAGCCTGAGTGCACACTCTGAGCTGTGTGCTTCTCTAGCTCTGCAGAGTTAGAGGCGTTGAAAGGAGGCGTGATCCATGTTCAAATGGGAGCTGCAGTCTGGCACCCTGCATTAGGCATTACATATGCATTATGACAGGGGAAGGCCTTTGCTGCTGTATTTCTCAGTTATACCTCGGGCTCCCGCCAAGAGCACAGATCTGAACTAATGCCTTGTGGCAGTATAATTGTGCCTTCAAGGGGATGTTTTGCCGATAGACTGCAGAGCCGGAGACCAGAGGAGTTCATTGCATACAGTCCCGCAGCTTGGAGGCACATGTTCAGCAGAGCAGGAGGTGGCCAATCCAGGGCTTGCCACAGCCTCACTCCCTGGCTCTGCTGTCTTGCAGTGCATCGTAGGGTGGGCAGGGAATGGCTACATCTGCGGGAAGGACACCGACATCGATGGGTTCCCTGATGAGAAGCTGCGCTGCACAGACCGGAAGTGCCGCAAGGTAGGACGCCACCTCGACCTGCCCAGCGAGGAACTGGGCAGTGTCAGGAAAACGAGGCAGTGCGGAGCATGAGCCTGGCACAGAGGCTTATCAGAACAGGTCATGTCCTCTTGCACACACCTTGGGTACCAGGCCCCCGGCTGGCTAAAATGGTCCTGGCCACAAGGACACCCCCACCCCTCCCAGGTCCTCTGCTGTTGGCCTGAAAGGGCCCAAGGGGGGGGGCCCTGCCTTGTCAAGCACCATGTGGGTGGAGGGTACGGTCAAAACACTAGCAGGTCCTGGGACCTAACAGCTGTGTCTCCTGCAGGACAACTGCCTGACCGTCCCCAACTCTGGCCAGGAGGATGCAGACAGGGATGGCATTGGCGATGCATGTGATGATGATGCGGATGGAGACGGGATATTAAATACTGAGGTTTGGGCTCTGATGCTTCCCCCCAAGAAACCTCCATCCCTCCTGGTGGGGTCCCCATTGCAGCCACCTTTGTCATCAGGGACCAGGGACATGAGAGGTCCCAGCTTACTATGCTCCATCACTAGCCACAGTTTGGGACCCAACCTCTCACAGACTCATCTCTGACATGGGTGGTGTGGCTGGCTCTGATCGGGCCCGCGGCAGCAAGGAGAAATGCAAAGGCCTGCACCTAGGGAGTAAAAATGTCCAGCACACCTACAGCCTAGGGAATGACCTGCTGGGTGGCACGGAAGCGGAAAGGGATCTTGGAGTCCTAGTGGACTCCAAGATGAACATGAGTCGGCAGTGTGACGAAGCCATCAAAAAAGCCAATGGCACTTTGTCGTGCATCAACAGATGCATGACAGATAGGTCCAGGGAGGTGATCCTTCCCCTCTATCGGGTGCTGGTCAGACCGCAGTTGGAGTACTGCGTGCAATTCTGGGCACTGCACTTCAGGAGGGATGCAGATAACCTGGAGAGGGCCCAGAGAAGGGCCACTCGTATGGTTAAGGGCCTACAGACCAAGCCTTACGAGGAGAGACTAGAGAAACTGGATCTATTCAGCCTCCGCAAGAGCAGGTTGAGAGGCGACCTTGTGGCTGCCTATAAGGTCATCACGGGGGCACAGAAGGGAATTGGGGAGTATTTATTCACCAAGGCGCCCCCGGGGGGTACAAGAAATAATGGCCACAAGCTAGCAGAGAGCAGGTTTAGATTGGACATTAGGAAGAACTTCTTCACAGTTAGAGTGGCCAGGGGCTGGAACAGGCTCCCAAGGGAGGTGGTGCTCTCCCCTACCCTGGGGGTCTTCAAGAGGAGGTTAGATGAGTATCTAGCTGGGGTCATCTAGACCCAGCCCTCTTTCCTGCCTATGCAGGGGGTCGGACTCGATGATCTGTTGAGGTCCCTTCCGACCCTAACATCTATGAATCTATGACTCTGTGGAACCCCACTTGAACCTGAACTGCAGCGGCTGTGTTGGACTGTGGGCTTCAGTTGTACCCTGGGGAACCTCTTGCCTGTATAATGGGGTTGGAACTCCTCCCTCCCTACTGAAATGCTCCAGGTGGGAGGGACTGGGAAGGCAAAGATTCAGACTGTGAGTGGAGGGTAGGGAAGAGCAGGGTATTCCCATCTCCTTCCAGTGCTAGGCCTGAGGTGTACTGGTGTCCTTCTGGGTAGGTGCTGCCTCAAGCTCTTGCTGGTGCAGCTGAACCAGCTGTTGTACTGTCAGGGCCTGTTCCCTCATAAAGGGGGCCATCCCCAGTGCCAGCACTGGGCTCAGACCAGTCAGAATAGGTTGCTCTAAGCAGCCCTCTCTATCCTCGTGGCCCTCTGTCCTGCTCCCTGCTGCCATGCCCAGCTTCATCAGGCTGCCCTCATCCCCACCTCTCCCCTTCCCCTTGGCAGGACAACTGTGTCTTTGTGCGCAATACGGACCAGCGCAATGCAGACAAGGACAGCTTTGGTGACGTCTGTGACAACTGCCGGAACGTGAAGAACAACGACCAGCGGGACATTGACGGCGATGGGAAGGGCGACAAGTGTGACGACGACATGGATGGAGACAGTAAGAGTAGAGCGGAAATGGGGGTGGGTGCATCCCCCAAGGAAGTGCCACAGCTCCAGTGTAATCTGCAGCACCTTGGGCTCGCCCAGTCCCTCAGCCACAGGCAGAATGGAGACCAGCACCCTGCAGCTGTGCAGGAAAAGCACTCGTTTCAGAGTGGCTAAAGCAGCAGGGCATGGAGTTCTCCATCAGGACAGAAGCCAGGGGCCTTCATGGTCTGGCTCTCACTGCACGTATGTGAGAGCCTGGTGGCTGGCACAAAGAACTGGTGCCTTCTCCTTCTCAGTCTGAGCTACAGCTGCCTCCTAAGGGAAATGAGACTGCTGGGCATGCTGACCTCACTGTGACTGAGGGCACTCAGCTCATGGAGCAGGGTTCACTTCCAGCTGATGAGAAAGTGGAGAAACAGCCAGGGAGTTCTGAGTGACTGGGCCGGGGCAGCAGGTGTCAGGGCTGCACACCGGGAAGTGGTTGGTCTGGTTGTAAAGCTGTCTGCACACTGTCTCTGTCTGCTGCACATGTGCACCGACATCACCTGGCTCCAGCCTGCAATAATGGAAATCCAGCAGCAGACTCTTCCCGAGCATCTGGTGCCACAGGAGAGTTGCTGCTTCCTGCTTCCGCGTCTGGCTGGCACGGAGGCGGTAGCAAATGGCAGTGGGAGGAGTGAGGTTGAGCAGGTTTCTGATTAGCTCATTCCTCGTCTGTCTCAGGCCTTGGGAAATGCTGTCTGCATCTCTCAAGTCAAACAGCCAAGAGGCAATAAGACAAGCCAAGGCTAATCCGCAAAGTCTGCTGTGGAGCAGAAAACCCACTGCAGTCGTGCATGTTTCCCCCCCTACGCCTGACCCCCCTACAGCTCACAGCTCTTGTGCTGCCCAGCCCTGACTCGCTGCAGTTCTCCCAAGCCTTATTAGCACAGATGTGGCCGGGGACCATAACAGGGGCGACACACCAAACACATTTGTACAGGACTCTTGCCCTGGCAACAGGTGCAGCCCTTTCCCCAGTGTGAGCTCCATCTCAACAGCCGTACTGTGGAAACCTTCCCTCCCTTTCTGCAGTGGCTCTGTAGCAGGACCACAGGAAGACACGTCCAGCACCCATTAAGCCCTGGTGGGACAGCCCTGCCTGCCTCCTGCCTCTCGTACAGAGGAAATAGCATGGACTGGCTCCCTTTCCAGGTGCTTGGTAAAGGCCTCTAGGCTCGTCTCAGCAACAGAAAGCCTGGACACATGGAAGGAGAGCCAGCACCACATGCCCCCATCCCCTATGAAGCAGGCCTGCTAGTTGGTGGCTAGGTAAAGGTGGGAGCACCCACCCATCCTACATGGGACCTGAGAGCAGCCTGCATGCTGGTGAAGGATCCTGGCCAGGCTGCCAGAAGGTCTGCACCAGTGTTAATATGCAGACACAAAGGTTTCCAGTGTTGGAGCTGCAGAAGCAGGGGAAGGTGTAGTGCAGACATGGCCCACCTGGGTGCTTGCAGCACATGACTGTGGGAACTGCTCTGGCCTTTGGGCAGATATAAGAAGCTGCTCTAAACTGCTGAGTCCTGGCCACACACGTGCTTTCACCTCTAGGCTGTGTGAGGGCGGGCAGCCTTCTTCCATGCGCAAAAAGCCCTAGTACTTCAGTGGTTGTCCCGGGCCCCTGACTCCCTTTCAGCCTGTGCATGCTTGCCCCAAGCTCTCAGAAGTCTGTGGAAGGGACTGGTGCTCTGTGGGTATGTGCTTTGGGCACCAAACCACTGCAGCACTCTGGGCTCCTCCCTGATGACGCAGCTCCTGAAAGGATGAAAGTCAGTGAGTCCACAGGTGGATCCACACAAGCGCAGGCACTAACTGAAGCCAGTGTGTTATGGAACAGAGTGAGCCATTGCCCTGTAGCCACGGTGTGTGCGCTAGCTGCCTCCAGAGGCAGTACTGGCTAGAAGGGCTCACTGTACATCTCTTGCAGCGATCAAGAATGCAGTGGACAACTGTAAGAAGATCCCTAACCCTGATCAGAAGGACAGTGATGGGGACGGCGTAGGCGATGTGTGCGACAGCTGCCCAACCATCAGCAACCCAGACCAGGTAGAGTCAGTACATCCTTGGCCTTGAATGGCTAGGTGTAGTGAAGGCCTGTCCCTTGCGCGGCGGGCAGGCTGACCCCTGCAAGAGTCTACAAATGCCTCCCAATGCGAGGATCTCGGCTACACAGTTTATGGTGATGGGGGATTGTTCCCAGGCTTTCCCTCTAGCTTGCTCCTTTGGCCTTTTGGCTAGAGGCAAACGGGACTGGGGGGCATCTGAACTCCAAGGTCTCCGGGCTTGGGGCTTGCACATAGGATGGGGGTGCCTGCAGCACATTTACACTGTTTGTCACCGTCTTGTTTCACCAGAAAGATACAGACCATGACCTTGTGGGAGATGTCTGTGACACCAACCAGGACCAGTAAGTACTAGCTGCACAGCTGCTGTTTTAGGTTGCGTGGGGTGAGAGGCTCAGGTATGCTCGGTAACTAGCAACAGCTGCACTTAACTAGATGCTGCTCTTGGGCTGCTGCCTACTTTTGCCTCGCACCAGGGGCTTTAAAACCTGTGCTGGGGCAAGTTACATGGTGAGGTTCAGGGTGGGCAAAACCACCACCTACTGCGTGCTGTCTTGGGGAGAGCGGAGCGAGGGGGCGGGGAAGTACAGCATGCTTTATTGCAAAGCCCCACGCTGCAGCCTGCCTCCCTTGCCATGTGGAAGCAGGGACCCTTCCTGTGCACTTTCCCCCTGAAGCGTGTCCAGCTCCTGCTCTGCTCATGCAGCCTGCTCTCTCTGCCAGAGATGGGGACGGCCACCAGGACTCGCGAGACAACTGCCCCACAGTGCCCAACAGCTCCCAGCAGGACACCGATGGTGATGGGGTTGGAGACGAGTGTGATGATGATGACGACAATGACGGCATCCCTGATACCAAACCTCCGGGCCCCGACAACTGCCGGCTGGTCCCCAACCCTGGCCAAGAGGATACAGATGGTGAGGGAACAGAGACAGTGTTCGCCCCTGTGACTTGCCTAGCCCCAGCTTTCAATCACACCCTAATGCCAGCTGCAAGGATGATTACCTCCAAACCTGAGCCTGGGGCCCTGTCAGGAGCTATTTGGTGCTGCCCCTAGAGTCGCTGCCAGCAGCTCCCACAGTTAGTACATTTCCAGCTGTGAGCCTCCTCTGTTAACTGCATCTCCACGAGCAAGAGAGGTGGGAACGTGTTGGGATTCCCATGTAACCACCTCATAGGAGAGGCACTGAGCTCCTCCCAGAGGACTCGTCCCTGAGGGGCATAGACATGGCCTCTAACAGCTCTGGCTGAGAGCTAGCGGAGTGCCAAGCACCTCGGTGGGGAGCAATGCCCTCAGCCTCTCTCCTGCATCCCTTCCAGGTGACGGTGTGGGGAACCTGTGTGAAGATGACTTTGACAGTGACAGGGTGATCGACAGAATCGACGTGTGCCCAGAGAACGCGGAGGTGACGCTGACAGACTTCAGGGCTTTCCAGACTGTTGTGCTGGACCCAGAGGGTGATGCACAGATTGACCCCAACTGGATCGTCCTCAATCAGGTAGGAGACGGACTGTCAGAGGGGGGATGGGGCTCAGCTCCACCTCTTCATGGACAAGCCAGTGTGGCAGCCCTTGCTGAGCCTCTTGGCTTCAGCCTTTACTGGCTGACACTGCTGCCCCTGCCCCTGCCCTGAGGGCCTTCAGCTACCGGTGTTGCAGTACACAGAGCACTTGTGTCGGAAGCTGGCTGTGTGTTGAGGTGCTCTGTGAACTCCGTCCTCTCTGCAGCAGGGCCTGCGGCTGGCCCAGGCCGAGGGAGGCACGCATGCGCACCCTTTCTCCTGGACTGACAAATGCAGCCTTGCTAGCCCTGGTGCTAACAGGCCAACCTTTGCATTTCACAGGGCATGGAAATCGTCCAGACCATGAACAGCGACCCCGGCCTGGCTGTGGGTGAGACACCTTGTGGCTTGTTAAAAGGGGCACGTTTCCTTTCCTAGCACAGCTGCAAAGAGTGTTTGGGAGACTTGTTCTAATGGTTCAACCAACTTCCTCCTTCAGTGAAAGGAGCTCTTGTCTCACCAGGGAACTGGGGGCAGAGGCAGAGGAGGGTTTTGCACCTGGGCTGTTCAGCAGCTTGCATGCTCTGCTAAACTATGTGAAGGCCTGCTCTGCCCTCCAAAGCGTGGCTGATGGAGCTGTGGCAGCTGTGGGGTGTGAAAGGTGTTGTCCCTCCCTGCCACAGCCGGCTTTGGGCAGCCTGGCTTCCATCAATCTGGGGTGAGGTCACCGTGCAGGGTGCAACACTCCCCTGCCAACACTGCTGCAGCTCAGATGAGCTGCGAGGGTCTAGTCCGAAGCCGAAGTCCGACATGGGGAGAGACAGAGGGAGGGGCCTGGTGGGTCTGGCTCCCTGGAGGGAATGCCCAGCACCAGCAGGATGGATGGTGCTCCAGGGCAGTCGTGAAGGCTCGGCACTCGAGTGGTGTGTTTGCTCTCCATTGCTTAAGGTTACACTGCATTCAACGGCGTGGATTTTGAGGGCACCTTCCACGTCAACACTGCTACGGATGACGACTATGCTGGCTTTATATTCGGCTATCAGGACAGCGCCAGCTTCTATGTTGTCATGTGGAAGCAGATGGAGCAGACCTACTGGCAGGCGAATCCTTTCCGAGCAGTAGCTGAGCCTGGCATTCAGCTGAAGGTAATGAGACCGCTGCAGGGCAAGAGCCGGGGGTGGTGGGGTGCGTACGGGCCAAAATAGTATGTGGGGTGGTATTTCCGCCTTGTTTCAACACCAAGGAGGCCTGTATAGTGCACAAATCTGGCTGCCTGGTCTTCCTCCCACCCTTCCCCAACCAAGACCACCTCTCTTCCCACAGGCCGTGAAGTCTAAAACGGGCCCGGGCGAGTATCTTCGCAATTCCCTGTGGCACACAGGAGACACCACCGACCAGGTTAAACTGCTGTGGAAAGACCCTCGTAACGTTGGCTGGAAGGACAAGACCTCTTACCGCTGGTTCCTCCAGCACCGGCCCCAAGTTGGCTATATCAGGTAAGGGGCAGGGTTTGCTCTGTGCCCCTTCCAAGAGGACCTGGAATCTGCCCCAACTATTTCAAGTGTAGTTGAAACAGCGGTGAGGCCCCCAACACTGTGCTCCTCCCCTTGTTCACACCATGGCAGGAAGGAGAACCCTCCTCCTTGGAGAAAGGCCAGACCTAGTGACACCCAACTCCTCTGTCCCTTTCCAGAGCTCGCTTCTACGAAGGCCCTGAAATGGTAGCGGACACCGGTGTGGTCCTTGATACAACCATGCGAGGGGGTCGCTTGGGCGTCTTCTGCTTCTCCCAGGAGAACATCATCTGGTCAAACCTGCGCTACCGTTGCAATGGTGAGTGCTCCACATGTCAGCGCAGAGAACAGCTTGCTCCTGGCATCTAGAGGCCTGTGTGTCTGGGGTAGCAGTGGTCCCTGCTCTCCTGACAGACTGAACACCCGACCTGCATTTTGTACTGAGGTGCAGCAGGATGCAGCCCTTCCCCCTTGCCCCCAGCCTCTTACAGGAAGGGGCATGTGTCTGCACTCCAGAATTCCCCTCCAGAGCCAGTGAGTCCCTCAGCTAGGTGCAGCCTTGGCTGCTGCTGAGATGCAGACCTCACCACGGGGACTTTCTGGGGTACTGATGCTGCGGGAGGTTTGGAGGTAGAACAGTCACTTCCCTGGAGGTTGGTTAGGATAGTATGGGCAGTGCCCCTGTGCCCAGCAGCAGCTTCTCTTGGGTTTGAAGCTGACTCCTGCTATTTAAATGTGAATAAGCAAATGCCACTGCAGGGGCACCGCAGAGATTCATGGAGGAGATCTGCAGCCTCCCCGGTGGGGAAGCCCATGCACAACAAGTCTTGTTTTCTTCCAGTACTCATCCATCTCCTGCTGTCACCCCCATGCAGCTGCGCCTCCAGCTTATGCCACTGCTTTCCCTTTCCACTTCCTCTGCTAATCTACTTCTCTTCCTCCCCTCCAGACACCATTCCAGGAGATTACGAGACATTCCAGACCCAGCAGAACCAGCACAGGGTTTAAGTTTGTCCGAAACTTGCTTTAAAAAAAGTGCTCAGCTGCCAACTCTTGCCTCTCTGATATACTGAACCAAGAACTGTAAGTACCACTGCGCTCTGCACAGCACCAGGTGTCACTGCGTAGCTGGCCTCTTCCCCACAGCAGCAACTCTCTGCTATGCAAGACTGTTGGCATTGCAGACGGGTAGAGTTCAAGCATGAATAGAAGCCAAAATGACTATGCTGGTAGCACTAGCTCTCCACCACGTGGACACAGATGTGCAGAGGGAGGAGCTACCTGCAGTGGCTGGAACTGTGCGAGTGCGTAGCGTGGATGGGTTTCCTGGAATGTTCCCCCACTTGGTGGCTCTGAAGTTCCTTTCCTTCTCTGTGTTCAGTCGAGTCTTACTGCCAGAAACACGCACGTGGCGGTGGGGCCGGGGGCTGCACTGCTCACAGAACATGAAACACACTTTACGAGGGCACCTTTGTTCTGGAATGTTTGGATAATAAACGATCTCATACTTCCCCTTGATCACTGACCCCTTGGGCTCCCTCAGTGACCGGCTGCAGACAAGGGAGCAGCTGGAGATACTGGCACACAAGTACTTCTTCCCCAGTCCTTCGGGTACAAGGGCAGAAGAGAAGCTCCCAGCTGGCGGATGGGACCACATGGGATGCCACATGTGCCAGCTGAAACCCCACTGTCTTGCACTGTGGAGTTCAGCTGAGGCAAGCCACTACTAGCTCAGTGTGCCAGTTATAGCTAGAGCTCCTATCAGTGTTAGAAGAAGGTACTGGAAATGACTGTTTATGAGGAGAGGCTGAGGGAACTGGGCTGATCTAGTCTGGAGAAGAGAAGACAGAGGGGGGTTTAAGAGCAGCCTTCAGCTCCCTGAAGGGGGGTTGCAAAGAGGATGGAGCTGGGCTGTTCTCAGATGACAGAACAAGGAGCAGTGGGCTCACGTTGCAGCAAGGGAAGATGAAGTTGGATATTAGGAAAAAAACTTTCATGAGGATGGTGTTGAAGCACTGGAATGGGTTATCTAGCGAGGTGAAGTCTCCATCCTTGGAGATGTTTAAGTCCCGGGTAGACAAAGCCTTGGCTGGGAGGATGTAGTTGGGACTGGTCCTGCTTGGAGCAGGGGTTTGGACTGGATGCGACCTCCTGAGTTCCCGTCCACCCTCATTGTTTGTGATTCTGATTCTACCAGGGACCTCTCCCCAGGCCTGTCAGTAGAGAAACACTCCCTTTTTTTTCTCTTGGCAGAGGACAAGCTGCAGGGCTCTGCTCCTCTGTGGGATACTCTAGCATTTTTCATCCCCAGGCTCATGACAAGTCCTGAACCATGGCAGGATCCACCCTTCTCTCCTTAGGGCAGAGTCAGGCTGGGAGCTGAACTTGGCATGAGCTCTGGTCCAAACCCCACTTTGAACTCCCCATGCCTCTGACCACCTAGCTCCAAATCTGTGCTGAGTAGATCAGTTGTGCTCGGAGGGTGACAGTGCTAGTGTGCCAGGATGTGCGACATGTGCATCCATCCAGCCCGAACCCCCCAGAGCATGCTCTACTCCACGCACACCGTGCTTGCCATCCTGCCACTGCCCTGGGATAGCTGAACCTCTACAGCCAGGAACAGGTCAACCCCAAGGAGGCCAAGTCCTTCTCCACAGCTGCAAGCACTGGCCATCCATCCATGAAGCATCTTAACAGAACTGTTGCTATTCACCCCTTGTCCTATCTGCCAGCTCTAATCATCAGCTTACACCAGGTTTCGCTGCACCTCGCGTTTGCTGTTTGCATGAATTCATAAACATTCAGCCAAGCAAATCACTCAATCATTTCACATTCCCTTTTTAAACGTCCACGTACAAAGTGTTCAGCCGCACCATCCTCTAAGTTGCACAGTTCTTTAAGGTGTGTGGCGGCCTGGATATAAATAAGGTATTAGCCGCATCTTAGGTGGACAAAGTAGGCCAACTCACTTCACCTCTCTACCCAAGGTCACGCAAGCACCCAGGAGAGCAAACCCGAGATCTCTGCCTCACAGACTTGTTCTGTCTGTAATCCCACCCTTCCTCTGGCACTCCCGCAGAGCTTCTCTGCACATCACCCACAACAATTGCTGAACTGCAGCACAGTGATCCCAGGGGCCTACATGGTGCTGAAGGCCAGGAAAGCCCCGGTGACTGCTCAACTCCACCTTCCAGGGTGCCGAGCTGCGAGGGCCGGCAGGGATCACCTGAAAGGCAGCCGCCTTTCACAGCTGCTGCTCCCGACAGATCACAGCGTGAACAGGGGGCATCAGGAAGTGCAGAAATGTGCTTCTACTGAAACTGCAAGAGGAAGATCCAGCACAGCACTTACCGAATCCGGGGCTTGGCCAAGACCCCAGCACAAACACATCAGGGTTACAGAGACCCCGACCGGCAGGGGCCACCCGTCGTCACGACAGGAGTAATCCTGTCGCCAGAGGGCTTCTGAATCGGGCAGCTCTAGAAGCAGCATTAAAGGGAGGGCTCCAAAGTCTTTGCCATCTTTGAACCTTCCAGATAACAAGTCTGCACATTTCCTGTCCAAACCGAGTCACGCCCATCCTTCCAGTTTGCGTGTCCGTACAAAGTCACCCACAGCGCCTCCCTCGTGTCCGTACACGTGACTGTCCACCCCATAGCACGTGCACATCCAAAAGCTCCAGCAAGAAAAATCAAGAAAAGCTGAGCAGCCAGAGACAAAAACATTTGAACTTTTATTACATTTCATTTACAAATAATGCAAAGATACAAAGACAAAAGCCTTCACACAAAAAGAAAGATTGAAAAGAATGTACATTTAGTTGAGCTGCTTTTTTTTTTTTTTTTTTCACATCATGTCTCAGATTGCAAACACTTAAAGCCAACTTCAGTTTTCCACTTTACCTATAGAAAAGCACAATAAATAAAACTTGTATGTCGCAGGGACAATTTCTCCAGAGTTCCTGTGTCGAAGCGGTAGCTGAACAGAGGATTTGCATATCTCAGTGAAATAATCCACACTTTACTTTAATAGAAAAGTTTAGCTTGTAAAGAACAGTATATTATACTGTCGCTGAAAATGCATAAATCTGACACTTTTCCCCTAAACTCTGAACTACATGAAGTTGTATTTAGCTGCCAGTCTGTGAGAAAAGCTGCCAGAAGCAGCTGTATTTAACTTTATTGAAATCAAACCTTCCCTTCATAAGTACTCTGCTACTGCAGTCTATTTGCACATCTTGTTTAAAAGGGATCCTTCCAAAGACGGGGCCCGGCTAGGGTAAAAATAAAAACGGCGATTCCGACTCCCTCCAAAAAAAAAAAGGAACAAAACCTTAATTAAAACGCCTACGGTCTTACTAGCTAGAACTGACTGAAAGACAGGATTTGTAATTGATAAGCTTTATAAAGCTGACCAAACAGCGTCTGGATGTGTATAGTATATATTTATACACATACGTAGTATTTATCACCTAAGTGTGTAGATGCTCATGCCATATATATTTAAGAACCAGTAAGTAAAGACAAAGATTTGTTTAAATGAGTCCTATGTCCCCTCGATACTTTGTCCCATAAATATAAGGTATAATATTAATCTTCTACTCTGAAAGTACATAAGTTTTTCACCTACTTATCTTTCCTATATTTAGTAAAATTCCAACCTCCTCCTCTCGGACCGAGACTCGTGGCATTATACAAAGCACAAAGACACCTAACAGCTAACGTCTTTTCTTTCACCAACAATGAAATCAGGGCAGACTGGAATTAAAATCGCCCCTCACATGGTAAATGCCAACCCACCGTTATCTGCCCCCAAGATTCCCGATGGCAATAATGACACGCCGCCCTTAGTGACAGGCATTAGTCCCTACGCTAGATTCAGAGACCGAGACCTTTGGCGATGCTTCTTTCTAAACCAGGGGGTAAAAGGACTGGACTGAATAACCCAGAGGGCGCACCGGCCAGCTTAGCGTGTCGTTTCTGTGCTGCGTCCGATCGTGCAGAAGGCAGAGTCAGCCGCGGCGTGCTGACAGCAGACACGTTTCTAATGAGAACCAGCAGGATCTGCACCGGTCTCTCAGGAAAGCACTTTGAATTTTGCTCTCCAAAATGACAGAGGAAAGATCTAACTGCCTTCAAACCAGCCAAACGCGTCTCGCCCCACGTCCCGAGATTCAGCTGAGATTCGTTACAGATGTAAGCCTCCTGCCATCTGCCAAAACCTTCAGAGATGCCTCTCAGTCACTCTCAAGCGCAACCATTTAAGCCTTTCAGGGAAGGATTCGCATCTGGTCTTTCGGGGAAGAGAAGCGAAGGTCCCATGACCCTGCGCAGGTTCTTTTTTCAAAGGTCTAGTTGCAAAACTTGCACGGGGCAGAGAGAGGCACCATTGGGGCTCGCAGAGGGGAGCTCTTCTGGACAGTATCCTTTCATACGTAGAGGTGGGGAGTGCTTTGTAATACTGAAAATCCATTCAAAACCAGTTTTAAAAGGCTTAGGCTCAAGCAATTTGCAGTTCATTCACGTGCGGGCAGGGCTGTTACACTGGAATGTTTTACAGGACAGTGGCTGGTCTCTAGTCATCATGATGCAGATCAGTCCCTTCCTTGCGAGTACAAAAATTGCTCGAGTGAAATACGAGCCCAGAGCCTCCAGGCATTTAACACGCAACGGGAGGCCGTGACAAGGGAACCCATAAGGAAGGGGGCTTTCCGATCAAGCACCGATAGCCTGCTTGGTGCCATACAGGATGTGAAGTGAGGGGCCCAGGACAAAGACCCGAGAGGCCTTTACTCAGGCCTCCAGTTCCTGCCTGTAAACTGCAGATTGGCACTGGCCTCCGCAGTCGCCGGCTGTTGCTGGATGTTTTTGGGAGCCCCAAGCAACACACGCTCGCTTCTGGGGCACGCAGTACCTTAAAATGCTCGTGGGTCATCTTTCTAGTGAAAGAAGAGATGCTTTGGAGAGGGCAGGAGCAGAGGGGAGAGGCCGGGTTAGCAGCAGCAGGACTTCACGGCGCAATCTCACACGCTGAGAATTTCTCCCCTTCCAGCCTCCCCCACTTGCTAATTTTTGCCACGCTTAAGACTATTCAACAGAGGAATTCCTAATGCCCGAGGGAGGCTGGGGGAAGGGAAGAAGAGCTCATAAGACACAAGTCACTTGGGGCTGTAGACGCAGACATCGGAGTTTGGAGGACAGGCGGCAGCAGGATGGAGGAGCACCGCGAGGCGCCTCCTCCCCCGGCTCCAGCACGCTGCACAGCCGGCTCGCACCCGCGGGTCCCGACACCGAGAGGCACGCCACAGTGACTCATCTGCGACACAAGCCTGAGGAAAGCACTGCACAGGAGCACAGCGTGGCCCAGCACCAAACCCCTGCGCAAACAAGGAGCTGCACAACCTGCAGGCATGGGAGCAAGTCCCTAGTTCAGTGGGGGCAGGTCTGCAATACAACAGACACCAACACAGTCTGTGCTGAGCTCTGGGTGGCCACAACCGGGCTGCAGCTGGTGCCCAAGCTGGCAGGGTTAAAGCTAGCTTGGAAAGGCCTCCTGCCGGCACGGCGGTCGTGCTGCTGCAGGCACATCTCTGGCTCAGCTCCATCCAGCAACGCGGGAAAGCCCCGAGTGTAGGGAGGCGCCGGGGAAAGCAGCGTGAACACGTCAGGACACTAACTCACGGCTTCACCCGTTAGAAATGCACGCACATGCGACTGCGCGGAAACGTCTTCCAAGCAAAGAGCACTGAGCCAGTCCAAACTAATACTCTGCACAAAAAGCCGGGCAACCAGCCTGCAAACGCGCCAGCTCTGTGCCCGACCGCTCTGCCAGGCCCCTTCCCGACTGCACGAGGCCACAAAGGCGCGGTACCGAGCCCTTCCTTCTAGACACAGGCACCAGAGAAGAGAGGATTTCCTGCCCTCCCCGCACTAGCAGCCTGCCTGACAGGAACCAGCGCACCAGGAGCCACGAGGCTCTCACCCCCGCTGCCTACAGGCACAGGCAGGAGGCGGCTTCCCAACCAGCCGGGTGCGTGTGCAAGGAGGTGACCACCTTTAGCTCGGCATTGAGCACGCCCAGCTCTTCCAGGGGCTTTATGCTCGTGTGCCTGGGTCTGCAGCCCGCTCCCAACATGCAGTCAGGCCGCACAAGAGAAGCGATTCGAAGGAAGGGGGCTCCCCACGGCAGCTCGGAAACTCCACGAACATCCAAAACTGCTGGCTGTGAGCAACACTGCTGGAAAGGGACAAGCAGCTTTAGCAGCTGGCCCCGATCAGCTTCTGTCTCCGAGTCCTGTACAAACTTCAGAAAAAAAAAACCCAGCTTGCTCACGGTGCTTCTTCACTCCTGCTCTGGCTGCCGGGTCACAGCGCGTGGCCACTCGGGATTCCCAGGCTGCATCTCCCCACTGCCCAGAGCGGCAGGGAAAGCTCTGCGCTCTGCCTGCACACGGCTCGTCCCTCGGGCACCGCGTTCTGACCGTTTAATCCAATTTACTGCTATGTTTTCTATTGGCGCTACATGCAGATGCACGTCTCAGTGCACGTCTTAACTAAGGCAGGGAACAGTCAATACCCACAGCAAGCTGAGAAGAGGGGGAGGAAACCCTGGGAGGTTCATCCTGAGTGCAGGGAAACATTCAAATAGTGAAATAGTCCGATACCGACACGCTCCATCGGACTGCGCCAAGGCTATCTGGAGCCCGCAGGTGCTGCTGATGGCTCACAACTGCCAAGAAAGAACCGTCTACAGCGAGTCCTTTCTTTAGGGTCACAGTCTCCTGGCACCCGCTGCTCACTCGAGACCAAAAAAACTGTTCAACGAGGCACTTGCTTGTTCTAAACAGTAGTTTTGCCACATTAGCCACTGTGAATTCTCCTAATCGGGGCACAGCCAGATACATGGACAGTGAAACAGCCTCAGGGCTTAGCCGTGTTCTCCAGAAATCACCTTTCCTTTCAGAAATAGGATACGGTTCTTCTGCCTGCCAAGAGCTTGCGTCGCGTTGCCTTTACACAAGGGCAGCGTGGACAACACAGCGCTGACAAGCAGAGCAATCTGCTGCTTGAGCTCCTCAAGGTCTTACTGGACAGTAACTGGGGAGCGCGCAGCGACTCTGAGAACAGATGCAAAATAAGGCAGTTCCTGCCACCTCGACTGACCTACGTCTGCTAGCCTGAAGCACAGGCTGAGCGAGCCGGTTGTTTAAGGTATTCTAGATTTAGAAAACAACCTCCCTGTACCAGGATGTACTGCATTCACGCGAGCTTTTTCTGAGAGCCGCATGTCGTGAAGAGACAAGGAGACCGTGCCATGCCCCAGGAAGCATTTCGGATCCGGCCGATTCTCTAGCCGGCAAAAACTGGCCGTCTAGTTTGGACGTTCTGCCCTGTTCTCTTTTAGCTATTTAATATAAAAACCAGGGGCTCAGTAAGAAAGAGTGAAGCTAAAATGAACATCTGTGCTGCTTTTCCTACTATGTACTCGTAAAACTACGTATGACCTGAAAGCAGCAATGGTTTATTTAGCAAGCTCCAATTAAACAGCCGGCCCTTCCTTCCGCACAAGTCCCCGGGGAGTAAACAGCTCACGCAGCTGAACTCTTGCTAAGGGAGCTAATACGCTCCCGCTAGCGTCCCCATGCCCCCACAGGGGACTCTGGTCTCGGTTCTTGCAATCCCTCCCGGCTGTACCAGCATCCGGGAAGTTGTCCTGTCGTGCCGACTACACGCCTCACACGGCGAAGGCAAACGACACTTCTGCACACAAGGCAGTGGCTCATGGTGCCCAGTCCTTTCCAGAGTCCAGCAAAACCGAGCACCCCACTTCACTGCCCTAAAAGCAGCTGTGGCATGCAGGTGTATCAGTAAATCTTGACTGTGGCCAGAGCAGCACAGCCAAAAAATGCTCCATCAGGGCAGCACAGCCATGTAGTCCAGCTCCAGTCTCCTTACGGGCTACGTGGGACACAAATTTACACTGAGCCTCGCACAGTAAACAGGCAAACCATTCACCTGGTTTCAAGGGACCGAACGCATAAGGCTGAGACTGAAGAGACGCACCTCTGGCCTGGCAGTCCCTTGGGCTGCACAGGCAGGCTCTTCACTCCCCTTGCATCACGAAAGCACTGAGGAATGCACCCGTGTCTTTTTGGTCCTGACACCTGGAGGAACGCAGGTTAGAAAGGATCCGTTACTCCAGTGCAAAAAGATCCGAAAGCGCGATGGCTACTGCAGAGCTCGCCAGGACAGCGCGGGCTCCCCCAGCACTGTTTGCTGACGAGCGCGGCTCCGGGGTTGTGCGTCTCCCTCCACTGCTACTGCAAGGGGGAAACAGAGCACCGAGGCAAACAGATCTGAAACCCAAGGGCAGACGAGTCGGAAATAGCAGCTTGCCAACCTGCCGCTTTTATCCTTAGCTGTGGGAAATGTGGAAGGGAGGGTCTGGGAGATGCATGGGGAGAGGTCAGACTGCCCTGCAGAGACACTAACTGGGCGTCTTGCCCCGGGGACAGTTTTCCAGTGGAGTCTAATGCAAGACCCGAACATGGGCTGTAACCGAATCTGAATTCAGAGCGTGTGCATATGGAACTACTGCCCAGGCGCGACGTCCTCCTCTTCTCTCCTTCCTTTTTGATATCCAGTGACACCACCACCCGACAACAACCCGACACACTGCTCTGATACAGCCAGAGCAGCAAACACCACAGCCAAAGAGCAGGAGCCTCTTGGGAAGGGCAAGGAGCAGCACCACGGACTTCCTCTGACGAGCCGGGGCACGCGAGAGGAGGTTTGAGGGCAAGTCCAAAGCAAAACTGTTACTGGATCCATCTTCCCACAAGCGGCGCAGTCTGTCATCGGCGTGCTGGACAAGGCTGTCGTCATATTCGTCACGTGACTGGCATCAAATCGACACATAGCATTCCAACTGCTTCAAGGACTTGGTCTGTCCTGTTACACGGCTGGATTTCCAGTGCTGCCCACTACCTATTTGCTTCCCATCCTATGCTTCCTACAACACACTCTTCCGCAGCTGCCTCTGCAGCCCCAGGTCACATCACCGAATAAAACAGTAAACGCTTCACCCCTTCAGGCCTTTATTGTGATACAGTCAGTCAAGCCCACATAAGGGAATACACACTGCAGGGAGAGCCACCCCCTCCCGCCCACCAAAAAATAAACAACACGCATGAGGAGAGCTTAATGTAGTGTTGGGTTTTGCAGTATAGAAACTCCACACAATGATTCTGTTTAAAAAGGTAAAAATGATTTATAATACACAGTTCTCATCATGTCGTCATGGTGCCTGCGTAGAAAACCGACATGCAATCCATGCCTACACTGCGCAGGATAAAGAATTCGCAACAGAAAGTACAAAGGACAGGACCACTACACAGTTCTTGCTCGTTGGAAAAGGACATACACAGAATAAATGCTAAGTGCTCGTTCACATTGCCATCACAGTGACAGGGGCTCCACGCGTGGGTCACAACGCTTGTCTCCTGTAAGCACAGCAGACACGTCAACCACTGCCTGCGGAGGGGCTTTCCGTTCCCAGGTTGTGCAGCGAGGGGGGCTCCGAGCGAGTACCATGCGCACGGGGAGGGCGGCTCGGAAACACTGTTTCTACAGGAAAAGCACGTGTCAAAAACAACACAGGCAGGGGCCAACGCCAGTGGGAGTTAGTTTTAAAAAAAAAAATTAAAAAGGACACCTCTTTGCCAGCTACTGCTTTCATGCCAGCTTAGCGTGGCGCTCAGTCACCCAGCAGGAGGTCAGAAGCAAGCATCTTGGTTCAGTGGGGTGCACCGGGACTCTCAGCGCACAGCAAGAAACAAACCAGCACGCAAACGACCCATCGTTTCTTCCCGAACAAATCTGCAAACTCTGCCCCCCTCTGCCATTGTTTCCTTACTTTAGTCCAGGGCTCTCTCTGACCAGGAAGGTTGTGCGCAGTTAAGGGATGCTGGCAAAGTGGTCACTCACATGCACAAGCAGCGGTGAGACAGACGCGTTCGACGCTGCCTGTGGTCAGTCATGCATGCAGCACACAGAGCTACCTCGACTCGGCCTGCGCGGATCCGTTTGTAAAGAGAATGCAGAAGTCAACACTATATACAATGGAAAACAGCTCCCCCTCCCCCCCCGCAAGCTGCGCTAAATAGCAGAAACCTGCTTTTTGAAATCACAGTATTCTATACATTGAAAGTTTATTCCTATTATTTCCCCAAAATATTGGCAAATGCAACAGTCTGTTTTGGGAAATTCTTATAAAAACATCGGCTATACGGAAACGAATCAGCAGGCATGTTTGGACATTAACCCTTTGAGACACGAGACGCTCAAAAATGATTTACCACTGAAATAACACGGACCAACACCTCCGATTTTCTCATCCGGCACTACTTTGCCTTGATGTCTGCATGTATCATCCCTTTATTCTAATGGCTCATCATTTCCCACACTTACTGCCCCTGTGAGGTGAATTTAAATGGAAAGTGAGATTAGCTGACTAAAACAAAGAGTGCGCTACTTGTTGTGAACACGCTGGCTCTACGCTTTAAACTTTAAATACAGAGTGTTTAACAAAAGGGAAAGGGAATCATTCAGCTGCTGGTGAAGGGCGCACACATGCTGCTAAGAGGCCAGTCTGCTAGGAAGCGAAGTGCAGAAAGGGCTGAAATGGGATGACGCTGGACTGAACTCATCGCGCGGGCTCTCAAAGGGTTAAAAATAAAGCAGCTAGCCTGCCCCGTCTTGGGGCAGGAGAGACAATACACCCCACCAACCACCCCCTTCCCACAATGCCCTCGCCCCTACCCCCAAAAAGGAACAGAGTGAAAACACTTCTCCTACTTAGATGGTCCCTCCTTTTTTTGGACAATTGCATCCAGATGTTTTCCCCACCCAAACGATATTTTTAAATTAAGGCCATTTTAAACGTCTACTTACAAGTCTAATAAACAAGCTCTCCTATATACACGTGTAATTAAAAAAAAACAACACGTCAGAAGGTAGCCTCTAGCGAGATCTCCCCGCGACACTCTCCAGTAGGGGCTGGAATTCCTAACTGGACGCTTCGGGCTGCAGTGACTCTGGTTTTAAAACAAACAGATCACAGACAAGAGTTACATGCATAAGAGCCGTCTGAACAAGAGGGCAATATAGACAGAGATCCCACCAGTGGACCAACAGTGCCGTCGAGGAGACTAAACTGCGAGAAGCATATTCAGTTTGCACTGTACCTTTGGCTGCTTTGAAGCAAAGGACTCCAAATAATCTGCTCTCAAATGACTCGTGTTCTGCTAGGGCATCCTCCTCTCTGAAGCTACTTTTTAAATCGGGAAAGCATTAGCAATCTGAAATAAGCAGACATCAGGGAGCAACATGTCATCTCAGGCGTAAATGTTAACAAATGTTGTAAATGGAGATGCAGGAAAACCTCAAAGCTTTATGGGGAGGAACCAGAGAAAAGCACCTCTTGGAGAAAGCTTGCATGGCCATGAGAGCTTGGAAAAAGAAAATGTCGTTAGTGCAAATGGTCGACTAATGGCACAAACGTGAGCAAACACGCACCCAGATTATACACGATCCTGCCAGCGATTCTGCTCAGCAGCGTCTGCGAATCTCAGGGCAGCACCCCACAGATTTCTGGAAGCACACAGAAACGGAGCTATAACTCATTAGGAGTGGTCCGCTCTCTGCGGACTTTTACGTTTTCTGCTCAAAACAGCAAGGGGGGTTTTTTGGTTGGTTGCTTTTGCCAGGGGAGCTGCGAGGGGGCCAGAAGAAGCGAGTTGGGCTGTGGGGCGGGGGCAAGGGGAGAATCTTTTCCAAAAATACCAGCTTCACAACTGAAAAAGCCGTGGTGCATTTTTAGACCAATGCAAATCAATGCAATGCAGCTTCAGTCAACAGGGAGAATAGGATTTACAGAGGCTGAAATAACTGTCATCCCAGAGAGGGGGAAAACAAAACCAACCCAGCTTTAAGTATAGTTAAAAAGGCTTCTTTATTTGAGATTATATCAAACAAATCTGTTTGGATGTTCAGCCTCTCCGGAATGGAAATGCGCCCCTTCGGCAGCGATTCCTTAATTGACATCGTTCAATGCACTACTATCCGTTGAGTTTTTGTCAGTAAAATTCAAGCGCAGTTGATTAACAAAAGTCAGCGTATTTAGAAGCCCTGCTCCTGTGCAGACTCTGGTGCAATGCCCGCCGCGTGTTAATGGCTCTGCTTCTTAGGCAATTACTCTAAGTGCATCGAGCTCTGGGTAAACAGCGAGACACGTTTTTCAGATTTGCGAGAGATGCTCGTGTCAGGGATCTGGGACTCATTACTGAATGTCATTCTCATCTATTACATTTAAGTGAAACCACCAATTCCGAATCAATGGGTGGTTTGTTTTTTCAATCTGTCATTGATAAAGTATCATTCATCGTTCTGTTACACTGCACCGCAGAATATTAACAATGACTAACAGAAGTAGTCTTATTATGGATTTAACAGTGTCGCAGCGTGCGCAAGAATACAGTACTGCTTTGCTGTAGAGCAAGTGATTTTTTCCAGGGCAGTAGAAGGAATACGTACTTTCCTGTCACCCTAATTTGAGCGTATAAAAAGGTAAATGCTTGACAAAACTTCCCCTGGGCTTACGTCTGGGCGGCATTTGTTTAAAATTCCAGTTAGTTAAAAATACACACACACATATATAGATAGATATAATATTTCCGGATTAAGAACACAACAGGATGTACTGTACAAACATGATGCAGAATGTTTCGATTGGCCTTATGTAGTTTAGCTACTTCTCTAATATCCAAACACTTAAATTAAAAAAAAAATCCATAAATAACGGCAACAGAATATTTAATGGGTGAGGAACAAGAATAATAATAATAATAATAATAATAATAATTAAAAAAACCCCATAAAAATAGCTGTTGGGACTGGGACTTGGCAGTGCCAAACACACGCCCTTCCCTCTGCCCAGGACTTTCACACAAAAGAGGAGAATTAAAAAATTGTCTGCAACTCAGCTTCCAAGATACCTGCAGCTGGTTTAAAAAGTTCCCGTCATTCCTTCATGCTCACCAGGTAATGAATTATAGGACTTTTTTGTGTGCTCAGAAATTCTCTTTTTTTTTTTTTTTAATTATTTTATTTTATTTTTTTAAAAAAGAAACAGCTCTGAAAATAGTGTTTACAGTCTTTTTGGATAACCGGCTACAAAAGCCCATGGGGCTGCCAGGCCGCCTTCCTGCTTTGCTGAGTACATGAGTTTGCTCAGGGCGTGAGAACAGGCAGTGGGTGCTGGACAACAGCTGGGGAACGAACCTGAAAACAAACATGGCATATCAATCAAGGGAGAAGCGTTTTACTCGACAAAGCAGCTGTCACAAAGCAGCCTGAGAGTCAAAACCGCAAAAGATGCCCTCCCTCGGCTCCAGAGGGAGGCAACACGTAGGCTTTCGAGTGAATGGGGGAGCCGGCGGTCAGTTCTCCCTCGGCCTCGCGAGGAGACGCTGTTTCGGCAGCACGTCGACCGCCAGCCGGTCGGTATTTTACACAGATCTCTTTATCCTTGGCTCTGAACCTTCCCCGTCCCGGAACCCCCACCCCTCCTCGTTTCTAGTGCAAAGGATAAATTGACAACCGTATGCTGGGACTCCGGTGCCGGGGGCTCGGAGGGGAGGAGGCCGACGCAAACTCCTTGCTCATTTAATGGCAATGAGTGGAACAGGGATAAAATATGGCGCGGTGGGAAGTGGGGGTCTGCAGCACTGCAAGCTTAGAACAACAAGCTTTACTCATTGTACACGTTGTACATGACGGAGCTACTGGTCTCAGCAACTCACTCAATCTGACACGACTGACCCATTGGACTTCTTCAGTTCAGCGGGGCTCCAGGAACACGTCCCATTCCCAGGCTCATTGTCCACACCCTACAGCCGGTCCATCCTGAAAGTGTCCTCTGTGGCAGGGTCAGTGAGGACCATGTCTGGGTCATTAAGCATGTGCAGTCCATCTAGGGTCAAAGGGTCAATTTTGAGTTCATCCAGAGGGAACTGAGAATCCGAATCAAAGCTGACATCTCCGACGCCTGCCAAAGAGCTGGTCAGTTCTTTTGATAAGCTGGGAGGCGATTCTCCTGTCACTGGAATCAAGAGGGGAGAGAGAAGCCTCAGTCAGTCTGCGCTGCTTTCCCAAAACACTCAATTCTTAGTGTAATCCTCCGGCTCTAGGTAAAGCAAGCGAACAGCTGGCAAACAGAGCAGAGCAACTGACTGGCTTAGGAAGGGAGGACAGCAGAGTCTACCTGCATGAGCTGCAGGTTCAAAGCTTGCCCAAAAGCCTCATTGTAAAGGACCTGACATTATTCAAGCATCTTAAAAGCAAAACCCAAGCCAGGTCCTCCTTGAGCTGACCAGCAAAGATGGCCACCGCAGCAGTCGCACGAATATCAAACCTCTCGGTGCAAGTCTCGGCACAGAGCCCGAGGGCCGTAAAGGCCGGGCTCTTCTCACGCACCTACAGACAGGAGGGCGGCAACGAGCACCGTTGCTGCGTGTAGCATCTGCTCCTGCGGCCACACAGGACGTCAAGCCACAAGGCGTCCGGCTGACACGACTCGCTTATTTGTACGCAGCGGACGTGACCTGCGCAGGCACCAAGATGCTTCCCTTCTCCTGTTGACTGGGCACATCATGCAGCGCAAGCGGATCCCCAGCACTACAGAGGACAGCTTTACTCGCCCCCTCTCCCCGGAGCCGGTAAGTGCCTTACCTGTAAGGATGATGTTGGGGATGTTTCCGTGGCTGGAGTAATTCAGCTGCTGCGAGTCCTGCAAGTTGCCGTGACTCCCAGTAAGGCCCATCATAGCTGCCTGGGAGTAGTTAAGGGTGGAGCACGGGCTGTACAGGCTGTTGGAACTAATGGCGTTTTCTATCATATTAAACTGTTCAAGCTGAAGACCAAGGCACAAAGGAATTGTTACTTCTGAGCATCAGGAAACACAGTGAAGCAATTTAAAGCCTCTCGTTTGGAAGATCATTTTCAGAAAAGACAGGCAAACAAATTCATCTTTAGGTTTTGCAAATCACAGAGGGCTGCTTTTCACTTAGCGCTGAACAGATTCCTGCCCGTTTTAGCTGCTTGTTGCCTACGGTGTCCTAGCTGGGCGCTAAACCTTGGCCCTAAAAACTCCCTTTAAAATAAAGTAAAAAACGAGACCCTTGCTGGAGGCTAGTGAGCCCGGTATCTGCTGACTCAAGTGCGTCCCACTGAGAAGCTGCCTCACCCTCTGGCTGCAATGACACGTGTCACAGCTGAAGGGGCGACTGCGCTGGTGACTTCACCGACAGACACGGGACTAGCTTGTTCAAATTCGGAGGCTGCACACAGGTTGGCTGCGAATTACAGAGCTGTGTTTTGCTGCCACCCACCAAGTGAAGCCTGCCCACAGGGGACTACCGTCAGGGAAGGTGGGGCTTCTTTCTAATCTAGCCGTCTTGGCAGAGTACCTTTAAAAATCAGCTGCTACAACGCCTAGGGGGAAGAGAACAAAATGAAATACCTGTGTAGCTGCGGACTAAAACAGCGGGAATAAAACGACACGGACAGTAATGTTACATTAGACTAGCTGCAAATTGAATTATATGCATCCTTTACTGTCAGGGTGGCCAAAACAGTTCAAAATCTGAGATGAATTTGCTCACCTGATGGGATAGGGCATTAGCCTGCCTAGCTGTCATCTGCTGATCATAATAGGAGTCACCAAATACACTGCCCAGAATGGAAGAGTGCTGAAAACAAAACAGAGTCTTTATGGCGTGAGAGTCTCACAAACAAGCAGGCAGACCCATGGCGAGGGAGTCAACTCTGTCAACTCATTGGCTTCAAATCTGGTCACAAACTGCCCTTCGCTAATACAGAAATCTAACAACGAGCGCATTAAGAAAGTCCTGTGCTCGCCTGTCAGATGTCTGAATACACCTCCTTTCCTCCAGCACAAAAAGAGAGTCTGGAAACCATGACCTCCTGGATAGGGAGGACACAGAAAAACACCTGCTCCTAACAGAATCGGGGTAGATAGCCCCAGTAAGAAAAGTCACCCTTCAATTTTTGCACAACAATAAAACAAGCTGGTTTTTTGTTGGTGTTTGCCCCTTAAATAAAAGGGTAAATGCCCCAGATACAGCTCAGACGGCTGAGCACACACGGTAACAGCCCATGTTGGCAGTGCGCAGGCACGGCTTGTTGGCCACCCGCCTCGCCTCATATTTCTAGACTCGCCAGTTTAAGGAAGACAAGAGCGTGCTAAAGTAAACCTGAGCTTACAGGAGTCGCATCATTCCCGGAGCAGGTAAGTGCCTGCACGAGACAGGTGCTTTCAGCAGCACAAGAGGGACGAGACTCCCAGGACAAGCTCTAACTATGCCAAGGTTGGCTTTTTCGGATGCTACAATGCCCAGTTATTCAGCGGGTGCCCAACAGATTATAAAATGGGATCCCCCCCCCCAACACCTTGCAACTCCTCTTCTATTTACTTCAAAAGGGTTGGTGGATACAACAGAGAGAGAGACAGGGGTTACAGGAGGAATTCCCTCTCTCATCTCACCAATTCCCTCAAAATCCTCCACAAAAATGGAGGCTCTATAGACAGCTCGCATGGGAATTTGTCTCCGCTTCGGAGATGCCCGTGTTCGACTGTACTTTCCAGAGCTTTACACAGATGAAGTTCAACACAAAGCTAAAACGGGTCATTTCCCCTGGACAGCTGAATGGCAAGAAGTTAAGCAAATGCCTAGTTAGTGAATATATACTTACACCAACTAACAGACCAACACGGCAACGTCGCAAAGTACTTAAAGCACAGGATGAAGTCCAAAACAGCAAACAGTTAAAAGTCAGAGTACATCTCACACGAAACACACTTCCTTCGGGCACAACAAGTATGTGTGACAGACCCTACTGTCCGTGAGCAGTAACGGGATTAGTTGGGCTGTTTTTAAAACCACCTGTCCAGCTGTGTTTGTAAGAGGTCACTGTCACGAAGCAAACACGCTGACACTTCTTTCTCAAAGGCAGAGACAGGGACTTTCCGGGAGGATCTTCCGATATTAGGCTGCATTAATCTTGGGTTATTGTGGCATCCATGGAGAAGTTGAGAGCCCATGTTTTAGAAGGAAAGCACATTGAAAATTCAGCGTGCTACCTAACATATAACCAACGGGTCTTGCTTAACAGCTCCGAATGGACTCCCAGCTGCTCGAAGTACCTCGAGTACCGTGCGCCACTGCGCGTGGGGAGCGTAGCTCGAGTGCCCCGAGAGAGCAGAAATCACTACTCACGTCCCAGACAGCAGGCAGGCTACACAAGTCTGCCGCAATGCGGGGAGATGGCGCACGGCTCCGCGCCCTCCAGCACGCTGCGCACCTGGCTGCTACGCTGGGCGAAGCAGGGAACAAAAGGATGTTCTGATCACACTGGTCTGGTCAGGTCAACTCTAAGGAACTGGTCTCCTCTCAAATGAAGCTAGCTCTCCCTTAAATCGGATTCAGGACCCCTCAGCCAAGAACAGGAGTAACAGAGAAAAGACATTTGGGCTGGAAGAGACCGGCTAGTCCAGCCCCCATCATAAGGCAGTATCATCTTAAGGCCACGGGGCACAGGACTATTTCCATCCTCTTTATAACTGCATCTTACGGCTTCCCTCACGGAATAATCCTACTCCACCTATTGATTTACACTTGAACGGGATGGCTCAAAATTCTTCTTTCGTGCTTTCTTAAGCAAAATTATATTCAAGTCAAGCTAAAAATAAAATACCTTTTCTCTTTAAATGCTTCTCTGGTAGACTGTACCCGGCACGTTAGACAAGGGGCTTCACTGCCCCTCGCTGTTCGTTCATCAGATACCACGGCCCAGGCCATAGTACAGTAAACAGTCTGTGGGATCAAAGACCCACCTCCGAACCTTCCCGGAGAGTTGGAAAAAGGGAAAAAATCTTCACATTAGAGTTGCCAGTCCCGGGCTCAAGACTGCTGTGGCTCACTCACCAGAGCGAGCACGGGCTACAAGATAATCACTACGTGGAGGCCAGAGCGAGTGCGAGGAGCTCAGGAAAACGCTGGTTCTTTGCTTAGCTGTGAATTGCACTTAAAAAATAAAAGTAATTGTGCTTAACTAGCAATGTTTCACTTGCTGCACTACGACACCCTTTGATCTGCAATCTCTCTAACAGCCACTCACCAAAATTCAACCTCCCTGAATTAATTAGATCACTACCTGCCACAACCGAGAGCAAGCATACCGCTAACATGAGCAGGCAAGTTAGGACTAACTAATTTCACTAATCGAGGAATAATTCTTGTGGTTTCCAATAGCTGCCATAATTGCAGAAGAGGATTTTTGTGTGTGAATAAATGAAACTTGGAATTTCCAGTGTAAAATTCACACCTCCCTGTATCACTGGTTGCTGACATTTCTCAGCACATTCATTGCTAGCAATGAATTTTAAACTGGGGAAGTTGTGTTCTCAACGTGAACAACTTGCACCGATCTGGAATTATCATTTGAAATGCCAGCTCCAACAGAACACTGCACTGGTTCTCCCTCTCTCACTTTCACCATTTTATAGAAACTTTTCAAACGTAAGAAAAAAACTCTTGTTCCAATTAGCAACGTTCCTTTCCTAAAACAGGCCTGAAATAATGTGACAAGTAATTCCATTGTGCAAGTCTATCTGAACAGCTCTTCCATTGTAGCGACCCATGGTCATTTCTCTTAGATGCGCTAATTCATAAAACGATGAGTGGCAAAGCCCCCACTCTCAGCTACAAATGTCATCACTTCACCACTTCAGGGTTCTCAGAATAAATGATTAGCTAGTCTTTGAAAAATATCTTGCCAGCCGCATCTCTTACGAAAACGGTACATGAGGTCTGTTTTGTCAACAGTGTATCTTCTTGGGTTAATGATGTGGTGACTGCAAGAAAACCCTCGCTTAAACAGGCTAAAAATACATACCATTTTTCCCCGTATTCAGCTGTTCCACTAAAAAAAAGCAACTTCATAATCTAATGAGACTGTGTCAGGTGCTAGGAAAAACAAGGAGCAATAAACAAGCCAGTGTTAATGAAGAGCCATGCAAACACAGAGCTAGGGACCACACGCAGAGCTTTTCAATTCATGTCTCAATGGAAAGTTCCTTAGAAATCAAAAATGAGCATTTGGAACCAAAGAGATACCAGACCTCAGGTGGGAGAAGGCAAGGAACATTTGCTGTTGTGTGAACAAGGTGCGCCAATCCTACAAGCATACGCTACAGCGCTAGGGGCGGTGCGGGACAGTCTCCCCAAAACTAGTCGGATAAAAGGCAACAGGAGGTCTCGGAAGTCACCCCCAGATCACCCTCCCTTTCCAGCCTCTACTACAGCAGCAGCATCTTCCAGCGTCTCCCCTGAGGATGTCCTGGCCTTCTCTTCTCCTGTTGAATGACTCCGGTCTCAGGATCTGACGTTCTCCCCTTCCCCACCAGCCAAATATTCACCCTGCATCTTCCTCCCTCTCCTTGGTGTTCACAACCTTCCAACCGTAGCTACATCGATCTTCTTCCACGCCCACCTGCTGCTGACCTGGCGCGGCAGGGAAAGCGCGTCTCCTCATTTACCAGCACCGAGGAGTGTTTTTTGTTCTGTTCCAGACACCAGAATACATCTCGCCTATTTTAGCCAATTTAGCTTCAGTTCTGCTGATTTAGCAAATTAAGTCCCAGCATTATGATTTTTTTATAAGCTGGACTCTCACAAATATCTAAATATGAAAATGAGTTTAAGAGACGGAAGACAGAAGTGGATAATGCACCTAAACCCCAGTTCCTGCCGCACTGCCAGCGACCACACAGCCCTTTCTCAAACACAGTGAAGCCAATGTATGCCAGAGGGAGTGTGTCTAGTCTGGCTGGGCAGGGGATACCCCCTGGCAAGAGGCTGCCACATTCGAAAGGTTTGGGCTGTTCGGAGGTAACGTGCCTGCGAGCACAGGAAAGAAAATACTGAACGACTGTTCAATAACGGAGCCATTCTCCACTGGGGCCAAAATTCATCCCCAAACTCGCCCAAACGGGAGTTCTCACACCACAAATTGCCAACAGCACTGACCCAATGGCAGCCTCGAAAAACAAGCCTTCCTTTGCTGCCTACACTGAGCCAGACAGACACGGCAGAGTTAGCAGAAGCAGGCAGAAGAAACAGGAGTTTTAGTGGAGTTATATGAGGGTTAAAACAATCCACACCGACAGCCCTGACCCTCAGCTGCATCACTCAGCTCCAAAATGAGCTCCTGGCAGCAAGAACTGACACTGACTTTGAAATCAAAACGGGTAAAAACATTTATCTTAATTATCTTCAGCCATTTGAGGGCTGGACCTGATGATCTGCAAGATGCCTTCCAGCCCCTAAAAAAAAAGATGAAAAAACCTATGAAATATCCCCTTTCCCAAGTAAAAACCGAAACAGGAAGCGGAAGGTCAGATCCTGCAGTGCCTCCCAGCGAGAGCCTCGTACACCCTGTCGCCGCGGCTGGGATCCAGGAAAGGCAGCGACTTCCACTTATTTTAGTCCCACTATATTCTAAACTCTTTTGCCACTGAAAATGGGCCGTACTAGCTCAGTCCAGCTGACCGGCAACCCTACAGAAAACAGCACTTCATTATTTCTGAAGTGCCCCACCGTGGGTGCATTAAAATTCCCGCTGATCTGTTTAGAGACACACAATGATTTTGCGTGCGAGACTTATGCACGTATTCATCTTTACACCGATGGGAAAACAGCCACCCTGCAGGACTAACATTGACGATCTACTCTGGCACTTCCCAGCTGTGAGATGTGGCGCCCGCCTTCTCCGAGTGATTTCCTACAGGGGTCTCTTTCGAAGGACGCGTCTCTCTCATCAAGCAGCTCCTGGTGTGCCTGCACTGGGTGACGCGAGTGGTGTTGAGGGGCAGCAGACATGCAAAACCAGCCTGCTCCTTTCTCTCTCCAGCCTTAGACATTCACTCAGACGGCCCTTCCTACTCCTGCCACCCCGCCAACCAACGAAGACATAAGCATCCCAAGGGGTAGCACTCCCTTTGCTGTAAGGAACCTTTCTGGATGCTTGGTTTTGTCGAGCTCCCCACAGAGGAGAAATTTGAACTTTAAAAACGTTTAGCGGTAGCATCAAATAAATAAAAAAGTCTTAATTCACCAGCTATTGAAAAACTCTGTATCTGAATGAAACTGCAAACAGGATGAGACATCAGTGATGCATGAGGCACATACAGTTACAAGTGAGACAACCATGGGTCAGTAATGGAGAGACTCGACTAAAAACACACACAAGAAGCAAGGCCTATGGAAGCGCAGAGTCCCTTACTTGAGGGGAGCTGCCAGGAGAGAAGCCTTGATTGGAGACAGGAGAGGTGGGAGACTGGTTGGCTGGGGATCCAGCATTACTGCGGTACTGCTGGAGTGACGCCTACAGAACAACACAGAATTAAAGACCATGGGATTGATGGAAGGTTGAAACGTTATCTACTTCTTGGTGTACAGCTTGGGGAAGCTGGGCGAGACCACCTTCAGCAGCTCTAGGATATCAGCAGTGACACCAGTACTGTAAAAAATGCCCCGAACTGGAGGGTCGAGATTCAAACGTGGCATGGTCTGGTGTCTAACTAGGCAGGACAGGGCTGTCAAATCTGGAAAAATTATTATTTTCATTTGTTTTTAATCCTGCCAGCCAACACTCATGGCAGGAAGAGAGGTCTCCTAAGGTAAAGTCATTTCTAGCCTCTTAAACTCACTGCCCTCTTCACGTATTATTAATTGGTGCCAACTGCCCTTAGCAAAGTGTCATTAGCATTGTTCTTTACTAGCTTAAAGAACGAGTCTGGCTGTATTAACTAGAAGAAAGTTAGTAACTGAACCTTTTTGCAACTACACACTTTCCCACTGCACCAAACACTGCCTGAAGATTCCTGCTAGTATTTTTAGGGTAATGCCACCTAAAGTTTTATGGCTTTCAGTCCTAATAACTTAAGACACGTTCATATTTATATGTGCGTAATGGACCTAGATTTGAGGAACCGAGGTAGCACCCACAAACTCAAACAGCTACAAGGCAGCTGCTTCAATTTAAATAATGGAGCTTTCTATAAGACCGGCTTTGCTGATTGGGAGGAAGAGCTGTAGTCCAAGAAGTCTGAGCAAAGGGTAATTTAATCAGCTAGCTTTACAGCACGGGGACGTGCTACGTTAGCATCTTGCGCACCGCTTCAAGTGCACAGATCAAGTGTAGCTCAGCTTCCCGAGAAGCGCTTTCTTAAGACCCACAGGATACACGTACTGTACCAAGATGCCACCAAGCAGACCTCAATGGGTCTGGAGGGGACAATGCAAAGGCTTTCCATGAGACAGCACTGTAGCGTAGAAGTCGTTTTTACACCAATCCAAGTTTACATGTGCACCATTTCAGCTGTTTTACAGACAGACTTAATATCCTGAATGTTAAGGGCTTAAAGCTCTTTAGGATGAGGAAAGCAACGTGGAAAGCAGAGAATGAAGAACAGAATATTCTGTATTAGTTACTGCAAAAAAATCGGGGAACCAGAACGTTCTGGCTGCTGTTTTCACTGGCTGTCACTTGGTACCTGATACCCTTGACTTCCATCTTCAGCCTATCCTAAGAGAAGCAACCTCTTTCAAGAAGCAGTACCGTTTACCAGCACAATCCGTTTAAACTCGATCCCCACAACGAACCCACTTTCCCATCTGTCCCTCTGTACTGCAATGGGTCCCTTCTCGTGATCAAAACAGCTGCACTGCTGGGGACAGATGTTCCACTGGAATCAGTGCCAACAAGTCACTGTCGCTCAGAGCAAGAAAAGAGAAGCAGCAAAGAACGTGTCCCGTGGCCCTTCTAGCTACAGGACATCATCTCAGAGCTGGCCTGGTAGCCCGAAGCACCCGCAGAAATCTGGATTCCAGTGTAGGAAGAGACAACAATTATACAATAGAAATGTTTTGGTTTCTCAGTTCTTCTCTGCCCCTGGATTACCACCACATGTACATATACTAAGTTTGGTTTTGGTTTTGATTTTCAGAGATCTGAAAGCAAATAAAACAAATCCTACTTCCCCCTAAGAAACAAACTTTGGTCCAAGTCTCTCTCTTAAAGTGCAATGATTCAGAAACAGTTTGTCTGGCTGTCTGAGTCTGAAAACCCTCCTTAGCACAGTTTTCTTTTTCAAAGTTCGGATAGCTTCTCGTCTTGAATGAGAAACCACCTGCGGACACCACCTGACCCTGGGCAAAAGGCCACCACGCATGCAAGTCTGGAAAGAGGTAACTGTTCCAGGAGCATGAGGATATACACATCGCTGCCTGAAAATTAATCTGAACCAACTCGGTTCTGGCACTGTAAGATAAATGTGTTTTGGTTTTATGAAGCCCCAGCCTTCCCGCATGCACATAAATGCTTGTAGCCTTTCACCATTTAAGGCTTGCCAAATGTAAAGGATTCTTCTCACTTTACAGACACAGCTGGCACTAAAATGGCATTTTAATTCAGCCTGTCCATAATTGGTTCATTACTGTTTTCCAGTGTCATATAAAACTACGGTGCTAATTGAACATGCCCACATCCCTCCTTGTAAAAAGGTGGAGGGCACCCAGAACTGCAGAGGTGTCATCCAAGAGGAATCTGGGTTTTGTTTGCTGCTTCTTAAGCCCTTCCAACACGTTACACCTCAAGCTCGGACGTGTCAGCTTAGAATTGCTCAGAAAGCCCGTCCCCTCCAGACAAAGATCTTTGGTTGTTTCGTTTTGTTGGGTTTTTCCTGCCATCCGGTCCAGAGACTATATACCCAAACCTTGAGTTTTTCAGTTTAAAAAAAAATTAACATGTTAACGTTATTTTATCTTAGCCTAAACCTGGGTCATATCCATCCTACCAAGTGTTTCAGAAACTATGTTCAATGGCTTAAGCAACGGTTCGGGCCATTCCATATGCTGGCCATCATGTGCTTAAATGATTTTTAAGGCATTATGTTTAAACAGCGTTAGATCCATTCAAGTAATCTGTGGTCACGTCCAGGGTAGAAAGTGCCTAAATATATAACCATTACAACTGCTGCCTAGTTCAAACTCTGACAGCACACGCTGACACTGCTTTCTCTGGAAGACAGCTATTTGTTTCCAATTATATCTTCTTCAGTCACAGTTCAAAAGCTTACCGAGGTGATGTCTATCCCCATTGAAGGCTGGCTCTGGCTGCCTGGAGGTGACTGTGGGATGGTGGAAGGTACCGTAACTGAGAGTGGGGGAAGCTGTGTTCCTCGCTGTAAACCAGAGGTCTGCATTAAAGGGGTATTTTGAGGCAGAGTACTTGCCACTTGGGTCTGCTGCTGTTGCTGTGAACTTGTCTGTGTAAAAAATGGGTATGGTGGAAGTTGCTGTTCCAGAGACAATGCGTCCATCGCCACAGCCTTAACGAGAAGAACAGGAAAACACGCGGGCTAGAGAGAGTTCTAGTCATTTCTGAAATGCTTAAAAATGTCACATCAAGTGTCTAAAACCCTCGGGGTCTCTCGGGCAGTTTGGAAAGTTACCCTGGCTCTGGCATTTACACATTCAAAGATGCATTTTAAGGGACTAATATAAGATGCCCAAGTTTAGGATTCAGAATGAATATTGTTGTGGACTTCCCTGCGTTGGGTCAGCGGTTTTCAGGAGCCCCCTCAGAGCACGCTCCGTAGGGCAGAGCCTGGGGTCTGGGCCACTCTCAGGAGCTACAGGTGTTTCTTACATGATTCACAATGAAGCATGCAACCTTGTGACAGTATCTTTAAAAGAAAAAGTTGTCCTTCGTGTTGCTTATATCAGAGCCTCAGGAGAGGCAAAGTGAAATCTATAGCTTTCCCAAAATGTTTCTTCCATTCTCTGACAGATTAAGTCAATCCCACGATCCTCCTGAGCCCCCTAGCAATACGGCTCACGTGCCTAAGGCAGACCGATTTCTTTGGCCAAAGGTTACTGGAAGCAATTTGGCTACTATCACGTCTGACTGCCTTTGACTCCCCAAGCCACTGAGCAGATACCCATTTACAGATGGATCAACTGAGGAAGACCCCGGCACGAACCGAGGCCAGGTCTTGAACTCATCTCTGAGCCAAAGACGGATGCCTTAACTGCTCTGCCACCGCACCCCACATCTGAGAGAACACGAATATATTTCTGTGGAGTCAAACGAGCCTTGCCGCTAGCTGTTCTAACCCAGCTCAGCGACAAGAGCCACAGAACGTTTTATTAACAAAAGAACAGGACATGGCTAAAGGGGATATTTCTAAGAAAATGTCGCAATCAGGGCAATACCAGTCTTGCAGCCAACGTTTTCCTAGATGTAAACAGAGTACGAAGCAGCCAGCTACGCTCTGAAACATTACGACCTGGAATCAGGTTCGTTATCCTTCTGAGCGTGCTGCTTCTCCCAGGCTGGCAAGCAGCCTCCTTCCTACCTGTGTGATTGGCGACAGAGGGGAGAGCGTGGGAGACATCTGCTGGGACTGCGGCCGTCTCGAGTCTGCATTCAGCGAGAGGGGACTGACAGCTGGCTGCCGATGCTGCTGGGAAGAGCCTTGCGTTGTTGCCATTCCTGCCATTGAGGAAGAAACACGTTTACATGGGACCGGTGGCAATGATCTGCTGGTGCCTGTTTACAGTAATAATTAGTTGATATGAAAACGTTTTCAATCAAGAACAGCTGAAATGTACAACCGCTTACAACAGAAGTACTGAAAACATGGCCGGAAAGGGGCCCTGGGCAGAAATCCTTAGCAGATCTGGACTGGATTTTGCAGTGGCAGGTGCCTAGTGATCGCATATGCTTACGTATGGAAGCTGCCATGTAGTTAGCCCAACAGCTCTCCACCTGGTTTGCAGATCCTTTCTGGATGATTTGCAGAACCAAGTGAAAGAAACATTCTGAGAAGCGGGTGGTGGGGTTTTATTATAAGGAATGGGAAGCAGGTCTCGAGATGATCCCTTTCTAAGTAGCCCACACACTGAACATTAGCATCCCTAAAGCTGGAGAGACCAAATGTGAATGTCCATGAGCAAGTGAAGTCATCGCACTGCCATGCAGCAAACTAGTGTTAGCAGTGCCACAATTTACCTGCCTGAGACGGCAGACAAAGGTCTTTTTTACATTCACCTCATGCTCCCAAAAGCTCATTATCACAGTTTCATATCCTTGCCACTTCTGAGGCCCCATGTTGTGGATGCTAATTTTTCCCATATCAAGTAGATTCCCTATGGCTGCAGGCATTTCTGCTTATTCATACTTGGTCTCCCCAGGGCATCTTTCATTCAAAGCATGTCAAGGGCTGAACAGACATTAGTAAAGCCCTCCACAGTCTCCCTATACTATGTGGGGGGATGCATCCAGACGTAATGATGCTCATACATAGCACGAGTATGAAGACCTGGACAGAAAATACCTGCTTGCCCAAGTCACCTGTGAATACCTGCGTTGCAGGGGGGGGATCTTCTTGTTACTGAGAGAAGAGGTCAGGTTACCACGGAAGGCAAGTGTTGTCAGTGCTTTGCATAAACACCTGTTAGAGATGCTCCTGCGTTTGCACCACGCCTGCACTCTTAAATCAGATCTCAGCTCACTTCAGGATGTTAAACAAACACAAACTGGCTCCCAGTGCAGTAGGAATTATGCCCATTTAATCACTGGACAAATCATGGCATAGAGGTTCAATGATATTTTTCAAGGTCAGAGAATATGAAAACCTGCAGTGCTGGAAACAGAACCTGGCAGTCCCAACCCCCAGACTCCTGCTCCAACTACCAGGAAATACTCTTTCCATTCACTGGAGAGGCTGCTCTCTTCTCGGACCCTCACGAAGATGAAACAAGTAATCTCGTGTTGGAAGACTGTACGTTGTCTGCTTTGTCAGGACCGACAGGATCTGTCCCACAACACAATAACACCCCGTGATCTCTCTCCACTGACCAAATGCCACAGAATCCCAGACAATGCTTCTACTGACCCGACCGAGCAAGCTCAGCCATGCTGCGTATGACGGAGGGAAGTGGTATAACTGGCAGGCAAGGAACAAGGACAAAGCAAGAAAGAGATTCATGTTCAAGTGTAACAGATTTGTCCTCATGTACAAATGAGTTGGACACACAAGTGGTTTTCATTATAAACTTAACGGCATTAGATGAGATGTGGTTGCTTCTATGTATAATTCTTACCGGGTAACATTTGTCAAGGCTCTGTATTTACTTTGACCTTTACTTCATGTTTTTAACTCCAGCTCATCCTTGAGAGACTGGAACAAATGCAGCACTCACAGAAATACGGTAGAACATTAATGGAACGGGTGTTTTCCATTCTTAATTATGACAAAGGGCTCTCTGTACCACTGGAAGTTGTTACGAGATGCAAGACTACCAAGAGCTTGCCAGAGCCTTTGAAACAGACTGTTCCACCTTCAAAGCCACAGAATGCAATTTCAAGTGTACTCGCACAAAGAAAGGAGGGTAGAAACTCTTTTTCCATGCGGCTTTGAGACTATCCTGAGCAGCACTGTGTTCTTGGGCACCTGAGTCTCAGAGCTCTTGGCCAGCTGGAGAGAATACCCAACCCCCCCCCATCAAAAGTAGTGGGAGAAGTCGACCTAGAAGAACTTGACTAAAACTAACCACAGGTGGTAACACCTCTGGGTGTGCGGTGACAGATCAGGGTGAAAAGACAAAACAAGAGCTGTGAATACCTGGCTACTGCAAAAAAAGACCCAGGGGGAAGAAGAGACAAACTACTCCGGACAACCGGTTACAGCCATGTTCACCTTTGGACGCCAAGCTCCAGAGAGCAACTGGCAAGAAAACGAAGAGGGTGGAGAACGCAGCCACGCGGTAGGGAACGTGTCCCCGACTCCTGAACTGCTTTGCCTTGGGGACCAGGTGAATCCATGTCAGAAGTCAGAACACAATCTCCGTTCTGAACGTGGCCGTACCCGCCGTATCCACGGTCTTTCTACCTCCCAGCCGGCTGCAATTCCAAGGGGCTGAGGCACAGGGCCGTGACCTCTCGTTACATCCTGGTCCACACAGAAGCACTACCGAACAAAGCGGTTCTCATACAAGATTGCTGCCAGATTCGAAAAGGTGGCGGAGGGGCGCCCTGTCCCTGAAAAGGTCGAGAACCACTGAAAGAGAGTACCAAAGGAAACCGGGCTCAGTGGAAAGAGGCATTCCCCGCGCAGGAGGAGAAGTCAGATGTGGAAGGGCAGAACGCATCCTGGGCTCCTTGGAGAACTCCGACCCAAGCCCAAAGACGTCCCGAGAGCACAGGACTGGGCAGGCAACTGAACAGGGTCTGCTTCCTCCGCCCATCTCTACAGGGGACCAGAGCGCCTGGGGCAGAGGACCCAGTGGGCCGTCTCGGAGCTGGAGACTCTGGAAGCCAGGTCTCCCAAGCCCCGGTCTCCTGAAGACGCCTGCTAGGAGGGCTTCAGAGGGGCAGGAAGCCCAAGCTGCCAAGGATCTAGAGGCTCTCTGGCAGGAAACCAAGCAGGTCTTGAAACCCGATTCCCAGCAGAACAGCAGTCAGCGGGGTCTCGGGGAACTTCAACGAATCAACACGTTCCGATGGAAAAACATGCAGCGCTACATTTTTCTGAGCAGTTCTAATACATCCCAACAGGTGGTTTCCTCTACTTTCCCCAGGGCTTCTGAGGACATGTGCTCATTTGCAAGTGCATATAACGCACAGACATGAGCAACAAGCAAAGCTGATGGGAAAGGCTCAGTCAAAAGAGTATAGCTTTGTTACAGTCTCATCTGGATAGCGGGAAGAATAATAAGAGAAGGAAATGGAGACAGAGTGCTAGGGGAAACAAATCTTGCCTCTATCCCTAGTTAGACTGTGCACATTTTCAAAGCAAGAAACAGAACCCCCAATGCTTGAAATGTGTCCGTCTAGACAGGCGGGAGGACAAGTGCGTGCAAGAAAACGCGAACCGGCATTGGCTGATGAGGAGAAAGCAGATAAGGGACAGATCTTTGCCCCAGCTAATGTCTACAGTTGGCTTCAAACCCGGATCAGGAAATGCTTTTGGAGTAGACAGTCGTGTACTGAACGGCTTGGTTTTGTACTATTTATTTTCCTAATAATGGAGTATGCAAGGGATTTGGCAATCAGACCTGGCCTAACTCCATGGAAAGGAGTTTGTTTCCTTGTAACAAACACTAGTTCCCTTGTACTTCATATAGGCCAGCACAGGTGTAAGTGCATGGAGGCCAACGGCTGGCAACTCTCCACTGATTTCAAATGCAAGAGTCAGATGATCAGCCAAGACCAGCCAATTTGCTGAAGTGCTGAATGCTGTTGATTTCTGTATGGCCTCAAGCAAAGACCAGTTCAGCACGTCAGCAAATAAAGCTACTTGGAACTGTACTCTTACTGCGGGCTTTAGAAATATTTATATTACATATATCCACATATAGTCGTAGCTTATGTACAGATCAAATTCACTTGCTTTGCATTATTCCAGCTTCTCAGTACACCAGCAGAGAGTATTTAAAAACCAGTTTTCCAGAATGCTCTGCTCAAGGAAGTACAACACCCGCTTTTCTATGGACTGTGACCAGTCACACAGAAGTTCTCTCTTATTGCAACTGTCAGATGATCAAACAGCTCAGAGCCCCCACGCAGCCCTGGTGCCCTCGCAAATATTGCCTCGTCTCGGTGCTCGGGTATCACAGCGTGACCCTGGAACGATAATGCTCCAGAGCACACAGGGACTATTTAGAACCCCTCTTCCAAAAGCCACTTGGAGCCCGCAACGTCCAGGTCCTTGACGGCATAATCAAGCTCAGCAGCAAAGTGAAGAACCAAACTCTGCACTGGTAGCATCCTACCAGAAGGATGTTTCAAACCCCAGCTCGCACAGCTCGGTGGGTGGACAAACACAGCTCAGCTCTAGAGCAGTGGTTTTCCATCTTTTTTCATCTGCGGACCCCTAAAAAATTTTGGTTGGAAGTGCAGACCCCTTTGAATTGTAAGTGTGGGTATTCACATACTTTTGATTGATCACAGCCATTTTTGCAGACCCCTTAGACACAGTCTGCAGATCCCTAGGGGTTTGCAGACCACAGGCTGAAAACCACTGCTCTCCAGGATACCATCTACAACGAATTACAGGCAGACAGTTTCTAATAAAGGAACTGTTCTAGAGGCACTACAAAGCAGAGGAGAGCTTTCCATGTAAAACATGCAATCAAGTTGCAACGCAAGGACGATATAAAAGAAAATAAAAATTAACTGAATGTCCAAGAAGATGTCTTGACATGACTGGCACCAAAGAAAAAATCCTGTATCGTCAATAGCCAAACGTTTGAAAGTCTGATGGAGAAAAGGCACCACACTCTAAACAGCCCGGTTTCTTCAAAACACAGCTTTGCAGCTCCGCCAAACGCGCACGGGCATCGGCCACCCAGAACTCCTAGACCACATTCAGAAATCAAGCGCCCTTATGAGCCAGTGACTCCCATCTGATCACAGCACAGAGCAGCAAGCAACCTCCAGATCTGCTCATCTCATATGATTCCTACAAGTTTCAACCATCTACGGTAAAACTGCAAGACGCCGTCTAACCTGCACACACGTTCCCAACTATTTCCTGAAGTGCTGCATTCAGGAGGGCTCAAGATTTTGCCACCAGACTTTGAATTCTGGGATTAAGTTTACACAAAATAGCCCCTAGCACCAGCCCTCCAGCACAACTTGGAAAAGAGCTGCAAGCTCCTGGGCCACAGGGTTTTGGGTTCCTGGCCCCATCCACACGCGACTCGAGGCTCAGCTCCATGCTGCCAGGTTCTCAGGCACTGCTCATTCATTACCTCCAGCCCTCAGGGACAAACTTTAAAAGAAAAGAACGTACTTAGCTGCAAGCAATGCAAGGTTTTCCCAGCTCTCTTTCAGAGTTATCCATCTGGCATTCTCCAGTTGCCATCCTCTTCATCTTTCTTTCACCTCACATACCTCCTTGTTTCCAATGAGGAAAAGAACTCCTTTTGCTCATCTTCCCCATACACGTATCAATACCACATGCTCAACCCTTGTCTTTCATCTCATCTCATGACCAGTCCATGTCCCTTCCCTTTATTTTTTTCCATTCCTCTGCTCCTTTTGAAATGATATGCAAATACTATGGATCAACAGTGGTGAACGACACAAAAAGGAGAAAGAGCATAGTACAACCAGGAGAGCTTTACACAAGGAAACGAATGCTATGCTGGCAGCACTCATTTAGTGCCCCTTGGGCAGGTGCCTTACGAAAATGCTGTTTCTTTCCTACTAGTGTTTTCAGGGTCTAACTGCCGAGGCAACTGGAGTTACTCCTAAATAAAATAAAACCCAAGGTAAAGATTCTTTTTTCCTTATGAAAATTGGTTTGGGCCATTTGCTTAAAAAAAGTTTACTGGTCCTGAAAACACAATACAATTTGTACTGGTCCAAAGGCATTTTTTCAGCCTAGCAAGTAACAGGATTTTGAATGATCTGTGGTACAGCAAAGCCCAACGGCCCCACAATTGTAAAGGCTCTCCTGGCTAAGCCCTGGACAATCACAAAACCCTCTGCACAAAAAGCAGCTCACACCCTGGAGGGCACCACTCAGAGGAAGCTGGATGGAACATAAAGCCAACACGGGTCAGGGTGATGATAAGCGTATACCTTAACGTTTCATTACCCCTGAAAGCCTGGAGTACTCCTGGATCTCCTAAAAATGAAGCAGCCAAGCTCACAAATGCTCCCCACTACAATATATTTTAGGGCTTCCATGTTAATTCAGTTGCCTAACAGCCCACGTTTGGTTCAGGTAAAACGAATGATGTGAGAGCTCAAGAGCACGGCCATACCGCCAAATGGAGAGAGAGACTAGAAACAAGATATCAAGGAGCCTGTTCCAGGTTTCCCTAGCAGATTCAGTGTGGCTGGGACTCATCAAGTGTGCGGAGTTCCTGCCAAAATCTACGACACTGCGTCTCCCCGGTGAAGACTCGTACAACAAACAGAATCAGTAGACTCCTGTGCTGAGAACACGGGAATGTTGAAGCCTAGATGTAAATTATAGATCAACGATGTCAGGTTTATGTTTCTTCATCCAAAATGCTTCATGCGAGTTGTTAACAGAAATCAGTCTGACCACCAGTGAGATGCAATCACCTCACAAGTGAAACAAAGCAGCTGCCTGGTAATCTTCAGCACAAATGATTAGGACAGGAAACGGCATTTTACTGACAGATAAACCGCAGGTGGGTCCTATGACAATGTTATTACCCTGACTGGCAGAGCTGATGCCCAAGTGAGTCAAGTTGGCTGCAAGATTTCCGGTGCTGTTGGAGCTACTCAGGGCTGGGAATGTGGATTCCTCAGGATCCAGTGGCGTTGGGAGGGGAGAAGGGAAATGAATGTTGGTCAGGTCTGGCAGGGAGCCGCCTGTGTTGTGTGTGGCAGGAATCAGCGTTGTAGTGTTCTCTTGGTCAGCTGATGGAAAGATGCTACATTGGGGAAAAAAAACACAACAGCAAAAGTCAGGTGAAACGTGAATGTACATGCGCCCTTCCCGCGGGATGCGAAGTCCGTCTGAAGCTGCTCTCCAGAAAAAAAATGAAAATATACCTACAGTATTTACAACAGGCAGCATTAGAGAGCATCAGTATCTACCCACGATAACAGGTTTTCAGTTGTGTGTAGTTGCTTTCCTCTTTACACCAGAGGGATACACTGTGCACTGCGAGGTGATCAGGATCCCTCAGGTGCTTCTATTTAAGTGACACTAGATCTGCTCGACATGCACGTAAAAACAGTCACGCCAACATACAGTTCTCTTCTATCTTGTAATCGAGTTAAACCTGGATTTGCCGGCTGAACAGCCTGGCTAGTAAGACTGGGAAGCGCGCACAGCCGACGGACACCCAAATTAACGGTCCTGTAGTCACAGTCATTCCCCTCCCTGCAAAAGCTGGATTATTTGCTTGAGCCTGCTAGATGAGCCCCAAGTGCATAATTCAGGGTCTGCAGAGGTAACGGGAAACTCATGCAACTCTCAGGCTTTTGCTTGTACCTACGGCAGTCTCACACATCCTGGGGCCTCTTTCGGTATTTCACAATCCGAGGGGCTTTCAGCACATAACATGTTTTGCCAATAATCTAAATGATCTTTCTAGCTCCCTGCTTTACAGACTGGATTGGAGGCACTGAGAAGAAACAGCACGTGGAGCATGCCAAGCTCTTTGATTCGGCTCTAATCACGTGGCTTCTCGATCATTTGGCAACACCCCAGGACTTTCTGCAGTGTTTTCACCCGGGCTGTCAGGCCAAGCAAATCAGGCTGAAAGTAACAAAAGAATTCACCCTGTTTTCAGAGGTTAAGAGCAGCTTGATTAACATTGTTTCGTCCTCAGTGTGGACAAAACACAAATCAACACAGCCTGCGAAGTTGGAAGCTTTGGTCCCGTCAGCTAGTTACCTACGTGCATTCCTACAGATTTTATAACAAGAACTTACTTGATTCCTGGAACTTCACACGATTTAGGCCTCGATGACCCTGTCTAAAACAGAACAAACAGATTATAACAGAGAAAAACAAGATACAAAATAATGCTTAGGAAAGCATGCGTTTAAAATAGGAGATGGTTTCCTTTCCTTAGTTTCAGGAGAGGTGTTTCTACACACTGTTTAAACTTTCTCCTCGACTTAAAGGCTTACTCAAGGCCACAACATCAGAACTGACATCCATAGGTACTTTAAGACATTCAGACTCAAAGTTCGATTATAAGCATCATTAATACGAAACAAAAAGTAAAACACCTTTTCGAACTGGAAGCAGTTGTATTATGATTAACCAGACAGCTACCACATCATTTCCCCCCCAAATCTAAGCTTCTTGCCCTAAATCAGGAGATGCAGATACTGCATGAACGACAGCCTACAATCCCCAGACCTCAGAATACAGTTTAAAAAAAAAAAGACCAGCAGCACTTAAAGAAAAAATAAACGGGCTGGTTTCATCAACAAAACTTTAACGGGCTCTCTGTGCCCTTCTGATGTTGCAGCATCGTGCCGTCACAGTCCAAAAGCGTCACAGCACAGCAGCTTTCACCAACGAGTCTAATGGTGCTCCCGAAGCCTGCACGAGGCCCGGCTCCACAAATCTCCCAATTCAGGACACACGGTCTGATGCCAAACGTTTGCAGCCACAGCATTTCCACTCCTTCCATTCCGTGTCACCTTTTGTTTTCAGGCGGCACGAACGGGATATTGTAGTGAAACGTTTCAACCCCCCTCATCAGAAATGCTACCGTGAAACGTAGTATTGGTTTTGCTAGAAGATCTTTGCTCTAAGAGAACAGTTATTAAAAACAAGGGGCTCGTGATCACCCGTTGGGGTGAAGACCATGCTCCCATTTTCTAGCTAATCAGATACTCTCGCAGCAGCTACAGAAATAGGCTTTTCCTCTGGATTTGCTGTTAGCTTCACTAGGTTGGGAAAAATCTGACTCTTTCTACCCCTGACTTATTTTTTTTGTGAGAGGACAACTGCTGTATTATTCATGTTAATAAAAGAGCCGTACAATATTCCCAACAATGTCACTTCCACGGATCCTCATGTGAAAATCTCACATGATGGCGGAAGTCAGCTCTTGTGATCGTAACGCAGAACCGGCTACTTGCATAAATAAAAGGATCTGCTCCCCATGTCACAGGCAATCACTTGATTAGTCAACTGCATACCCCCCTCCCCCCCCCCTTTTTTAAATTACATTCACTAGAAGCCAGCCGCTAAACCACATTATACAATTCCAAAGACAAGCAGACAGACAGTAATGAAGAGAAGAAAAGGGGAAACTGCCATGCTGAGCAGCTCCAGTGAAACTCTGAAAGCACTTCTAAGCGTACAGCGCAGCTCAGGGAAGCGGTTACTTCAGCTGGAGTTTTGAGAACCCGACGAACCAAAAACCAAAAACCTCTCTCACTTGGTTCTTTGAGATATGCTGCTAACTTTGGAAACCCTCAGAGCTCAATCACTTAGGACTGCCTGAACTTCAAACCAATAAAGATCTCAGATGCGAACGGCACGTGCTACCGGTGCCGTTTCTTGCTCTAGAAATTAGGCTCAAGCGGGAAATATGGAGACAACAGTAGCTCTCTTCAAGGGCCAAATCACTAAGTTTCAGAATCTTTACCATTTGCTTTATAAATATCAGAAAACTAATCATTGCATTGGTGCTACAGCTGTCTTAAGAAATGCCAGAGCGCGGCTATGACAGAAGCGAGGCAGGAATTCAGAGGCAGAGCGAAAGGAATGAGTAACAGAACACAAGAGCAGAGACACAAGTGGGGGCAGAGCGCATTATTGCAGTAAAGCTGTTTTCTCCATTTGAAAAGATGAAGGAAGAAGCTTTTCATCCTATATTTCATTCATGTTATTCCTTTGTGTCCTTAATGAAATAGCAAAAGCAAAGGACACATTAGCCTTCACTTTAAAGTTTCCTAAAATTTGTCAGATCTGACATACCTTAGAAAATCAAAAACCACACAAAGTTTTTTCTTTTGTCGGTTTTGTTTTGGTTTGTTTTTTAAGAAATTGAATAAGGAGCCAGCCTAGCAATCAAGCTTACGCACAAAGACTTACCATTTACAAAAAAAATACATACTAAAACAAAAACAGATGGGAATCATTTTGCCTTTATCAATCTACCAAAGCACAAGTTTAAAATGCTGGAATTTCCCCCCGCCACCCTGGAGACAAATCACCTACGTCAGATGTCACATCCATAGAGATGCTGCGCCCGGGTCTAATTTCAGACAATTTGTTGCTGAACTTCGATGCAAGTCTTGACAAGCAGAGCCCAGCCCAGTTCAATATTACTTTTTAAAGTGTCTCTTTACCTAAATAGATTTACACAATTAGATTTCGACAGCAAGGTATGTCCAACATGCTACGAGGTGAGGTTTTTACCTTTTTAGTGTCCCATCCTTGTTTAGAGAGGGTTTTGTCCGTCTCGGATGAGCTTTCCTCCATTCCAGGGACAGTCAACAATAAGACTAGAAAACAAAGCCAAAATCAGTACATCCCAACGTTAAAAAACTTGTTTCACGTGTTTCATGCGAGGTAACAGTCAAAAGGGCACGTAAGTGACTTGGCCAAAACTCCATTAACTTTCCACGAGATTTCGGCTAAGCACGCAAGTCAGTTTTGAATACAGGGCTCCGTGTATGTCTTCACTGAAAAGTTAGTTCAAGCGCTTGGCCTACGCTGGGCGTGCTCAGCTGGCGATTTGTGGAAAGGCACCGGAGAACTGTTAAACTCCAGCAATTTGAGGCTTGTGTCCTCGCAGCACGAGAAAATTACCACTCAAGTGAAAGGGGGAGGTAGCAAGCCCAAGTTTAAAGTACCAACCTTGGATGAGAGAAAAGGCAAGCCTGAGACTGGAGTAAGAACCCAAGTAGATATCCCTGTCAAGTACTTTTGAACATTTTTGGCCTAATCCAATTTATGCTGCTCAGGTAGAGAAGGAGCATTGCATGCAGTCTCCACTTTAAAGCTGCCCCACTGTTCCATCTGCTGTAGTTTACGTAAGCGATACATAACTCGCATATGAGCCCACTGAAACAAAACCTGGGCTCTTCCCCTGGGACACAGGAAACCAAATGCATCTGTGCCAATACATACATGAGGTCAAAGTAGGAAACCGTTTCACCATACAGGTAGCAAAGGCACACTGTGCTGACATTCTTTCCACTTGACTGATTTCCATTAACAGAAGCCTATCCAAGTAATGACACATTACACCGGGACAACAAACCCCTGAAAGGACCCATGCATTTCACAACCCAAATGGGTTCCGGGCAGACAGAAGGGGCTGTGTGCCTGGCCTACTTACAGCATCAGAGCCCAAGCTGGAAAAGCACCGTAGACATCCTCAGCATCACGTACAAACTGTTACTCCTTTTCCATACGTTTTACTGCTCTCTGGTACCAGTGCAAGAAGGAGCCACAACGGGGAATACGGTGCATGTACCTGACCAGTGAGTGCTCAAGTATTCAAGGGATAAAACTTTGTAACCGGCCTGTAAATCTGAACGGCACATTTTTGGGGGCCTTGAGTATCGTTTCTCACGCTGACAAGAGATGCGAGGGCACCAATAATTGTGGGAGGTGCTTAGCAGTTGCTATTACTCGCCATTAGCTGTAACCCGTTATTTCTGAACATTTCTTCACTACGCTCCCGGAAGCACGAGATGAAATCT